AATCAGCAGTCATAAGGACTGCTGATGAGCATAATCAGCAGTCATATGGACTACTGATTGCTCATCTGCAGTCCATATGGCTGCTGATTGTGTAAATCTGCAGTTCATATGACTGTTGATTGTGATCATCAACAGTCCGTACAACTGTTGATTGTGCATACATGCAAATTTCGAAAAACAAAATTGCCAAATCTTTTTTTGAGTCTAGATATGGCTTAGACGCACCATTTGGAGAAGATTGGTGTTTTTGATGTTGAAAAGTGATGAGCTGATTATGAGTTCGCAAGTTCTCACAAATCTTTTGGTTCAATAACTCAGCCATATATATATATATATATATATATATATATATATATATATATATATATATATATATAACCCAATGTGAGAGATATAGGATAGCTTGAGTCGAATCGGAAACTCAACTTACAAGATAAACATAGTAAATGTTTATCTTCATTTACTAATGAAATCGGTGATCAATAATTTTAAATATTTCTGATAATAACTTTGAGTTGAATGATAACGATATATACATTTAATTTATGTGGTCCAAAAATATCTAACAATGTATGGATACTCTTGAAAATATGTTTGTAAGAGCAAAAGTATAGATCACAAAGAACAACAAACTAAAATAAAACTCATACTCTCTCAAAGAATAACTGATCATACAAAACATACACTTAACCTAATGATTATGCTAAACAAACTCGTAAATCGTAATGATTATACAAAAATCGTAATCTAATGATTCTAAACAACACTGAAGAATCAAAGCTAAAATCTAAACAAGTACAAAGATAAACAAGACGATTATATTTAAGAATCATTAGCAGAACAATGGAGATGGATGAGAGCAAATTAGGGTGTTCTCAGTGACGAATGATGAAAATATAGTTCAACATCTTTACATTCAGCCCTTCGAGAATCCTGATAGTTATACGACACCCTTGTTCAACAACAATGCACTTCCGGTCCTTATACGCTATGGGTAAGCATTTGGACCGGACCGGACTGGTTTCGGATAATATTGTAGACCGTGGACCGGACCAGATGAGACAGATCCACGTCCATGTCCAGGTCCGATTTTTCTGGGTTTTGGACACAGTTGGACTGGTACAACTTTACATGCATACAATATAATTTGTTAAAATGAATACGTTTTTTGGTTTGATATGATACAAAAGTTAACAATTTCACAACATCAAGTGATATCATTTTCTACATTTAAACATATAATCAAACTTTTTTTTTCCAGAAACCATCTTAAAATGTCAAAAAAATAATTTTTACAAAGTTCACTGCTATAAATGAGCATAAAATCAATTAATTTTTCCAGAAACCATCTTAAAATGACATAAAAACTAATTTTTATAAAATACACTGCTATAAATGAGCATAAAATCAATCTGTTTTTCAGAAACCATCTTAAAATGACATAAAAACTAATTTTTTTTAAAGTACACTGCTATAAATGAGCATCATCGACTTCTTTCACATAGACAATTAAAAGGAAACATGAATGTTGTCATAAAGGAAAAGTCGTGACTTGTACTCATAAATAAATCATGTTGTCAAATGTATAGCGGTCTTTGGATTACTTAAAATTTAAATCATTTTGGTTATTTTTTCTATGTAAAACTTGCAAACATTCCGGGAAAGTTGTCATACAATCACAATAAGTTAGTAACCAAGTTTTCATACAATCACAATAAAAGTTTTCCACAATAAACCAACTAGATATAACTTAAAACTTTATAACATTCAACAAAATTTAACAAAATTAATCAAAACTTACTTGAGCTTCATCATCATCATCTCCAATCTAATTTTCATTTTTTTCTTTTTAATTCCATTACTTTTGATTACACCCTTTGTAAGACTTGTGATGAGTTGAAGTATATGGAATCAAACAACAAAGATAAAGGAATGAATATCACAAAATGTTGTTTTCCAGCAACAAACAGAAGTTGTGTTTCCCGAGTCTCTGAAGCTGATCTCGATAATTTAACTGTTAGACTAGAAGGCCCCGTTGTTAGGAAGTCGTTGTCCAAAATTCAAAGAAAACGGACCGTTGGATCTCTAGGAAATGAAGAAACACCGCATGTGTATCAATTTTTTTAAACCATGTCCATAACCGGTTTTTACCCGGAACCAGCCGGACCGAACCGGTAAAAAAATTGGACCAGTTATGAGCAAATCCAAGAACCGAGAACTGAGCCGGGGGTCCAAAAAACGTGTCCAGGTCCAGTCTACATGTCCAAATGTTCACCCCTATTACACGCTCATAATCTAAATTTTAGCCCTCATCTTTCTACTCTATTCAAAATATGCACAAAACATACCAAGTTAATATAGAAAGAAAAACTATATTTGTCATGTTCAAGACTGAAGGGATCATTTCCTATCATTTTTCATAAAATATTTTAACAAACTATATGTGATATGTGCACAGTACATTTTTTAATCAAACAAAAACCCTACTGAAGTTATTTGATTAAATTGGCGTCTCAAACTCTCAAAGTTTTGTATCTCAAAACCATCACATGTTTGTCGTCATAAAAACATGAATGTTGTGGATGTTGAGGGTGCAAATGATCGGATGTAATAACAAATATTTATTTTCTTAAAATTAATCGCACTTGTCCATATTAATGTTTTAGTGATTGACAAAACATAAACTTGAGTTGTTTTAGAATTTTGATGTATACTATCTTGTAAGATCATATTTAACAGTTCATGTTTGGGAAATCTTGTTTAAATAATATTTCAAGAATTAATTAATCAACAAAATATTTTATAAATCAATGAAATTTGTCATTAACAAAACCTTGCCAATGCCGCCCCTTGTGCGCTGTGGTCGTGTGCTTCAACAATTTAAATATAAAGCCCATTCTTGTTTGGGTCCTTTTTTGAATTGAAGCCTGGTCCAGTGCAAAATATGAAAATGGTTTGTTTTTGTTTTTACATTAGTTTGAACTTTAAAGTACGTATTTTAAAGAGGAAAATAAAAAGAGTTTTCACAAAGTAACCATTTTTATTTTTTACCTTTTTTTTTTGTTAAAATGGCCATCAAATTTCATGTTGGTGTATGCGACATCAATATTTGCTGAAAAATAGTCCCAGCAGCCATTATTTAAGTCATTTTTTTTGTATGGGTTTTTTCTCATTGTCACTTTATTTATTTGCAAAATTCTCTATCAATCTAAAAATTTATTTAACTTTTTTTATTATCTTTTTTTTGTCTCTAATATTTTTTTTGTTTTTTTCTTAATATTATTTGATTTATTCATTATTATCATATTATTAGAAAAATATTATAAATAACAATAATAATAATAATAATAATAATAATAATAATAAAGCCAAATTCGTCTTTATTAACTAATTGTTTGAGTATTATAATTGCATTGTGCATTATGTGTATTATGCGGAAGATAAGCATTCGGTCAAACATTATATATGGTTTCTCATCTAGAAGAATGTTACAATTTGTATGTATGTCAATATAAAAAAATAGTATATATTGGATACATTTCTTATAAATCAACCATCGCATAATGGTTACCGTGAACATGAGCAATCACAGCATATGCATGATTTAAGATGTCCTACGGGCCATACCAAAGTGAAAACCATGTTGTAGAACCTTCTTTACTCAAATAATGAATGAGAACACCATATTTGTAAACAATGAAAATACAGTGTGACATAATCAAACAATATTCATATGTCGCATAACTCAATCCAAAGAAATTCAGCGAGTGACTTATTTTGTTAAAATATTCACCATAGATCATTAATAAAGCTTGTATAAATCTCACTGAATCTATGCCAATAATCTTCACTATGACTATGACCAAGAGAAACAGTAATAACATGGACTCCACAACTGAGACGTTGTGATTCATTCACACAATTAAATGGTTCCTAAAACTATGCCGTAAATTACAGTGGTGTCGACGAATTTTTTTTGTTCTTTTTCATTCAAGAAGTGAATAGATGAATCTAATGGACTCAAATAATTAAATATTGCATATCTAGCCCTTGTATATAAAGCATATTCTCAATTTTTTTTCCTTTTTATAATTGAATTAATAACGAGTAACTATTTTACAAAAATGGTCTTGATTTTTAAGTATTCTACTCAAACAATTTCTAATAATTATAACATTTATTAATATTACTAAAATCTAATAATAAAAAAGACAAAAAATATCATATATGGATGCAATAAGTAAAATTAAATAAAAATAAAAATAAAAAAATTGATTTGATGGAACGCTAGTTGATTTGACTAGTGTCAGTGGTGTACAATTAGCAATGAGGGGTACCAAAGGACCTTAATATAAATAATTTCACAAAGAAAAAAATTTACATCGAAGAATTATAGGAAGAAATGTTGCTGTATATTAAAAAATTAGTTTTTAAATATATTTTTTGTGGGGTTATAAAAAGCAAATGTTCTGGCATATAGTTCTACGGCTCTATTATAAATATGGTGTTATTTATGTAAAATGTCAGAAAAAAAAATATTTTGGGGTTATAAAAAGCAAATTTTGTCAAAATGGTAAGTTCATCAAGCAATGTGTTTTTACTGGTATCAAATCTTAGCTCAACTACCAATTGTTAATGTCTTAATCTCAAAACGTTCAAGTTGTGGCTTTAATTTGGGAACATTTTGATATTGTCTCAATTGATGGGAAACTTTTCCCCGGATGAAGTGTTAAAATATTTATTTTGACCACAGTTTTGATTATTTGGCTTTCTAATTAATAACTCTGAAAGGTGACTACTGATTCTCACTTGTTTAGATAAGAGTTACGGAATCAAGAAGAAGGCCTTCATGTAACATGTTGAGAATAATAAGATGATGATAGAAACTTATGAAATGAATCTGTTAAAATGAATGTTAATCCCAAAAACAAATAATTCTCTCAACAATTGTCCAGTTTAGCTCTACATTAAACCCTACAAAAAAAAAAAAAAAAAAAAAACCCTAAGTAGGTTATAAAACCCGAAACTCTACTAGTCCCAGTATAATAACTACTATAAAGATGAAAGAATTTACAAATCTTGGCCAATTGTCATCTAGATCGTTTACCAATCTCTTCATTTAAAAGTCTCATTAACTTTCCCTTTCCTTTATCACCACTCGAATCATCATTACCCAAAACACTCAAGAACGAATTTAGCTCCTCTAAATTCGCCTTTTTAAACAGACCCGATACAATATCATCAGAATCTGTAGTCAAACCGCTGTTGTTGTTGCAATCAGGAATGTTTGATTCCTGAATCTTTAACGAGTTCTCACCTTCATTGTGGGATTGAGACAGAAAAGGTCGCGATTCCCAATACTCTTTGCATACACGATTCCTATCCATCGACTGTATACCCTATCAAAACCACATCATATCAATTTGTTAAGATGCATTTAAGATCATGTCATATCATGTCAGGTTTACCTGCAAGATGGAAGGTGAGGAAAAACCAAACATTTCCATGCCATCAAGACTTCCGGGTGGCTGCAAAGGTGGAAGATTTAATATTCTTGACTTATGTTGCTTTGAGATCTCATTGTTAACTTTCTCTCTAATCATTTCCCAACATCTTGCTGCAGATAAATGTACAAATACTTCATTTGGATTATTCTCCAATGAAACCTGAGAGAACATAAGTGCATTTTTATCACCTCGTGCACCAAAATACAAAATACGCGTCTTTTATAGCCATAAAGATTTTTAATTACCATAAATAACGGTCTATTCTTTCCCACATCAAGAATTTCCGAAACATAATAGCACATATCCGTAGGATTTAAAACATTTATGTACTTAACCCGACTCCGAAAACCTGCACAAAAAAATAACAATAATTCAAATTTATGTCTTCCATAGAACAATCATATGAGATGTAAATCAGGTACACAACAGCAGCATGTGCTGCTGGCCAGTCCACATTGGAATTGAAACTCTTACACTGACAGAGACAGACTGTCGGTGTAATTAATATATTGTACCTTTAGGGTAAATGGCGCGACTATCGCACCAAAACTTTCCCGATTGGACCACACCATATTCCAAAGGCTCCACATGACAATTTATCCTTCTAACAACTTTCGCCATGCGGGGCCCTTTTTGGCGGGGGTTTGTTTGGGTGCATGACGGACTTCCAGAAGCAGCATTTTGTACGTTGTTTCCCGGCCTTGTATTTGCGTATAATCCAATAATTACAATTTTCTCCTCGTTATTTTGTATTCCACTCCCACATTTCGGTATTTGCTGAGATAACACACTCGTATTTTCCCCATTACTGGACTCTTTCACACTTGAAAGATCCTGTGGTTTGTTAGTGGGACCCGTGTCTTTTGACAAAACTCTATGGCAAGAAAGGTTTTCCGGGTGTGACTCGATGGCTTCTTTTTTCACTTGAGCTTCACCCCCGGTGGACCCTGAAACCGAATTGGTCCGAACCGGTTTATTGTCACCTTCATCATCACTAACCAGAATAACATTCTCATTGGGCTTATTCAAGATTTCTTGGACCCTCTCTTGCCCTTTTTGCTCTTTCACCTCTTTGTCATTGGGCCCATTAAGCCCCAAGGGGCGTGAGGTATCTTTAGATACGTATGAAGTCAAAGAAAGTCCAAGATCGAGTTTTGCCCATCTGTATATGGCACTCAATTTTCCCTCTAAAGCCTCAACCAAAATGGTTAAATCTTTAATGTCATAACGAAGAAGAAAAAACTTTGAACCCCAAGCACACGAGCAAAACTGTTTTGCATGATTTAAACATGAATACTTTTCAGGTGAACAGTTGTGACAACCTGCAGCCGATAAATGCAAGTCAAAATAGCAAATGCTGCATTCTCTCTCATTTGTCGCATCAAAAGTTGCCTCCATTTTTAAAGCTTGAGAAGTGTTGCAAAGAAAGTCCCTCCTTACACGCTCAATCTCCACACGTGCCTAAAGAAAAAACAACACATTAAATTGTTAAAAAAAACTTTAATACATAAAGAATGACTTAACATGTACAAAAGAAAGTACCTTTAGGGTTTGGGATAGGATCCCATCTTTCCCACAAACAACCTTCCATCTTAAGTTATCAGGTGTGTTCTTTCTAAGTAGATTAAGTTCCCAATGAGCTTTTACAGCATCTCTTGCAGCTCCAAGTAACAATTTATCATGAGAAATTGAGGTTTTTCGAGCCTGTTCACGATAAAGCTCAATGGCATTATGTCCATGTGGCAACCAGTCAACAGGGGCTACATTGACTGCTTCTGCACAATTGAACCCACAGTTGAATCCCGAATGATATGCTCGTGGAAAAGTCAAAATAAATTCTCCCGGATTCTGAACACACCGAAAAACCGGAACTCCTTCGGATTTTAATATGGAAGGTGAAAGTTGTGTCACCTGAAAACAGGTAACAAAAAGTTGATAATAATCTCCATAATTTTGACAACATTGTTCAAGAATCAGAATCTTGAATTACAAATCTTACAAGTTTGTGAAGCAAGTCAGGTTGTTCTGCAAAAAGGTTAGGCAAATGCTTTTTCATGGCTGCTTCCAATTTAATGGCGTCTTTTCCTGGTACACCATACCACATCTTTGAAGCACCAAAATGCATGTAATTCATTGAATACAGATGATGATCTTCAACATGCTGTATTTTTTTTTTAATGTTAATATTCGTGAAGAAAGAGACAAGAAGAAAAAGAAGTAAATCACGATCTTCCACTCACCCAACAGAATGATGAAAAGCACATTCCAATGTACAACCATGGGACAAGAACACCAGATATATCACTGCTTTCATAAGAAAGTAAAGATCCAGGAAGCCTTGGAAAGTTATTCAAGTTCCATCCGGATCTAACATACTTTTCATCTGACCCGGATACTTGACACGGATCTTTTGGAAACCCGCTACCAAATGTACCCGTTTCCAGGTCAGCACCATAAAGAACCTACATTTTCACAAGAAAAAAAAAATAAAACATAAACTTTTAGTTGATAAATGCAAAAAAAAATGTTTTTAGCAAGATAGATACCTCGATTTCTTTACTAGGTCGTTCTACCATACGCCAATATTCACCCTCTATGTTTTCTAAAGATGGGTCCCACGAATCTTGATTTGTATTCATTTCGTTTCTTCTGAAATACTGAGTCTTGAAATCATCCGCATACTTTTGAAACTCATCAAGTGTGAAGCGTGGACCGGGTTCAAACCCAAAACAAGGTTCAGGAACCATTGGGTCAACAGGGTCTGACCCATGAGTCTTTTGGTCAAACTCTGTTTTCACACATCTTCTTTTTTTCGCTTTCTTATGGTAATTAGGAGTCAACATTTTGGTCAATGAATCACGGTTTTGAAGTTTATCAACTCTTTGGATACGAGTAGCAAAAGTTGAATTTTCCCATACAGTTTTTTCCTTAAGAGGACATGGAGGCTTCCATGATGAAGGTGGTACTATTCGACAAATTCCATATGCTTCGGCTTTTTCTCTTATGCTTGAAATGTACTTCAGAGTATCTTCAAACTCCTGATAAACCAATTAGTCATTTATATTCAGACAATTCATTCAGTCCAAAAAGGAAATAAGTCGTTAAAGAGAATGGTATTGGTAGATACCTCTTCACTTGGGTAAAACACAGGAGCTTCAAGAAGATCAGGGATTCGAGCTTCTTCTGGACGCCATTTTGCAATAACCTGATAAAATTGTTTTTTATTTTAATTGAGTATATGTATACACAATAACTCAAACTTCAAAGTACAAAGTGTAATATTAAATTATGTTAAGTTATTAACCTTTTGGCAGTTGCTACACTTTTCACATCCACGAATAACCCCTTTAGAGATCGGATTGCTTGAAGTTTGGTTCTGCATTAATACCATTAAGTCAAGAAATATCATACAGACACTGTAATTAATTAAAAAACAATATTTGATGACATACCTTTTCAGATTCAGACTCATCCCCTGAATTGCTATCAAAACGGCCATAGTTTATCCAAGGTCTAGGTCTAACAGACCTCTTAATCTTTTCATCATCATCATCATCATCATCATTGTGCTGGATCCCTGATTCGTTCTTGACTGGATGTTGTTCAGAAGCACTCATGGGGACAGAAACTTTGTTGTCGTCAACTCTTTTTAGAGAAAAGGCTGTAATCGATTCAAACCCTGGTGGAATTGATGGAATATCCATGGTTTCTTCTTTGACATGATGCCTGATGAGTTCTGTCCCCATCATGAAGTTGTTTTCACAAAAGTTCTTGTTCAAGATTCTCTGATTTTATGAATAATACTTTATCAGTTAATCTGCATCATAATTTGCAAGCATATGGAGAAATTAGTAACAAAGAAAAGTCTCATGGATCGGATCGGATCGATTGTTGATATATACATATACATAGATGATATAAAAGTTCAAAGAACATGAGTATTGATTACCCCAAAACAAAAGAGAGATGCAGTCGTCCTTGGCCAAATGCAGTTCAGGCCCAGATGTTAAAATATGAATGTAAACTTCAGTGAAACCTAAGAATTAAATAAAACTACAGATGATTAAGAATTTACTTAAAAAGGAATGATCAATTTAAAGCTTAATAAATTGAGAACAAAATCAACAGATCTGGTCTAACCTGGCCTTACCCAGATTGTCAAAGTTACCCAGAACATATCAATCAATTAATTTAGGGTTTACAGAACAATAACTGATAAAAAAACAAAGCAAAACCAGGACTGACTCAGATCCCACTTGCAATAAAAACAATATGCGATTGACCTGGTCAAAATCCCTAAAAAGTGCAAGAAAAAGGGGGATCAGAAAAGAAGGGAAAAAAACCCTGGATACACAAACCAGATGAACACAAGATTAGGATTGCATGTTGAAGAAAAACCAATACCCAATATAAATTCAACCATCTGGATAAATTAAAACACAAACAGTAATATAATAGGCTAGCCCTAGATAAACATCACAACAAATCTTGATGATCTAAAACTGTACAAATCTGGTAGTGAATACCTGTATAGCATTAATAAGAACACGGTTTTTGTTGGATGATATCAAGAACAGGAATATGGTAGGAAAATTTGAGGTGGGTTTGGTTTGGATTTGGATTTGGATTTGGATTTTTATTTTCTTAGGGACAATAGTAAATATTTTTACAAGGAGACTGGTCCAACCAACTTAAAGTTTTGTAGGGAAAACATTGGTTTAATTAGATCTTTAATTACAATATTATTGTGTTTGTAGAGGTGGAGGACCATGGATATGTTCGTTGATCAAGAAAGAAAAGTCATGCGTGAGGCGAGAAGTTGGGGAGAAATTGGATTGAATTGAATTGAATGGAATCTTCTTTTAATTGCTTCTGTTTTTATATTTATTTACTGTTTGTTGTTGTTTTATTATTTGGGAAGTTTTTGGTTTACCTGTGTGTTGTGATTATGAAGACGAAGTGAGATGGATGCCCGAATGAGGGAGGAATTGGATCTTTCTTGTGAGTTTTGTTGGATAAAAGCATGAGACAATACTCCTTTTGTTATTGTTATTGTTACCCCTTTTTTCTCTTCAATTCGATTGGACGGTCAGGATGGAGACACACTTGCAGTTCCAAAATCCGAATGTATTTCAACAGCCTAATTAGGTGTACAGTCTAGGCTCATGCAATACCATGGGCTATATATCATATAATGTTTTGAGTCTTTCTAAGATGGTGCTTAAATTCTTTTAAGAATACATTATTGTTTTCTCCTAAAATTATACAAAAGTAAATCAGAATTTTAGTCCCTTTGGTTCACACCGATATGTGTTTTTATTTTAGTCTTAAGTTTTGTATTTTTGACACCACTCATTCTTATTGTTTCAAAAGTTGCAATCTAAATGCGTCCTTTTTTAATAGACAAGACTGCAAATTTGGTCCTTGTAATTTGTAAAAAACTTTGAATGGGGTCCAAAATCTTTTCGACTTGCATGGATGGTCCAAAATCAGAAACTTTTCGTGGATTTAGTCCTCTCAAACTCTATTATTTGTGAATTTGGTCTACATACAACCTAAAATGACTAATATGCCCTTCCAATGATTCTTTTTTAATTTCTTTTCGTTTTCCTTTTTGTATATTTATACTAATCCTCTCTCTCTCTCTCTCTCTCACACACACACACATACACACACACACACAAATGTCGCTTGCTTCTGTAGGATTCCATAGAAGAGTTCCAGTTTTATTGTTGACAGCTTCTTCAACATCGATCTACAATGAAGACTAATCATCACAATATAGGGGATTCATGTATGAACATCGGTGTGGATGAATGGAGGTTAGCAAGAAATCAGCCAACACCATTTTCGATACCCCAAATCAGAACCAATAGCATCACTACTTCTTCTTTCTCCATTCAATCGATCTAAATTCTGTAAAATCTCCTACTCTCCAATAGACATGATATCTTTGTTGAATCCACCTTCTAGCATTGCATAAGCCAAAGAAAATTTGTACCTGCAACCATGTTTGTTCTTGATTGTGCATAAAACCCCTAAATTGGATGTTGGAATTGCTAGGGTCGACGGTGATAAGATGGTCATCATACCTGTTCTACTTATAGATGCATCTCTGATAAGGAGGTCATCAGATTTACAGCTAGAGGAAGAATAAGATGCAAGTAGAGGAAGATGATGAACTTAAAGAACCCAGATAAAGTTCATGCTCGTTAATCTGAAGCTATGGCCGACGATGGGTCGATAGGAAAGACGGTATAGGCAGCAATGCCGACGTTGGGGTAGGCCATAGGAATAGATGAAGATGAGGGTGGTGGAGATGAAGGGGTGTGGTGGTGGTGGTGGTGAATAAGTGAAATTAGGATAGGGTGGTTGCCTGGTTGGTGTCGTTTGGGAGAGAGAGAGAGAGAGAGAGAGAGAGAGAGCTTGGGGGAGTAGTTGATTTTATTTTTTCTTTTTTCATAATTATTAAAGAGGGTGATAATTTATTTTTTTATATTTTTTATGATTATTTAAATACTAAACCAAATTTAAAAAATGTAAAATAGAAATAATAGGGGCAAAATAGTCATTTTAACCTTTTTAGGACTAAAATCACGGAAAGTTTCTGATTTTGGACCATCCATGCAAGTCGAAAAGATTTTGGACCCCCATCCAAAGTTTTTTACAAACAAGAAGGACCAAATTTGCAGTTTTGTCTTTTTAATACTCTCGTCACCTATTAGTGAGCCGGAAAGCTTAGGAACGCCTCTCATTCCTCTTCTCTCATTTGACAACCGTATCTCGTCCTCATAGTCGGTCGATTGGCTTGAATCTCTTTTTCTTTTGAATCATAACCTACTATTAGTGTATGCCTAAAACCGAACTAATTACTTTTCTCTAACCAATTATCCTTGAAACTAACTATGTCACTTATTATCTATTAAATATCAGTAAAATTATCATTGTACCCTTTTGTTTTTTATTATAATATTAATAACTTTAGGAACCAAATGTGTAAAATACAAGGAAAAAATAACTCGAAAAGATTTTCAATCATCGAACCATTCACACAGTCACCTATACATTTCCCTTCTTGGTAGCTCTAACATCGGCAACAACTTGTCGGACTCCACCTCATTCTACCTCGGGTACCGATGTCAATGCTCTCCTTACAGCTTAAAAGCTTGGGTCACTCTTCCACCCTTTCCCCTGTCTCCATCGCTTTCTACCAAATAAAAGTTGTTGATAACTCATTTGGTTTGCCATAGGACGTAAGTAATTTTGAAAAGTTGAGTCACGTGGAGGCCCCACACAAATCATTAATTGTTTTCCCTCTTCTCCGTGGAGTTCTTCATCAATGAACAAATACATCCCCCCTTCTAATTCTCCTCTCACATACATCGATCTATGACAAAAAATCAAAAAGGTGATTGCTCAAGGAGGAGCAGTGAAGTGTTTATGGCATTTAGATATGGTAGATCATTAGAGGACGAGTGGACGACGTCAACATGCTTAAGAGGCGTGAAGTGAAATAGTTCCCTGGTTGTCGGACAAGGTCATATTGATGAGATATAGGTGTTGATGTGGTGTGATGTTTTGTTCCGATTATTGCTATTCCAATGGTTGGATGGAGGAAATAGGAGGTGTTTACATTGGAGATGTTCTGAAGGATGCATGCAATATTTACCTCCATCATTACGACTCAACCATTATCGACCTCCTCCTTTATCTTCGTCTCCTTTTCTTCAAATCACTACTCAACCAACCCTACAACTTGTAGTAGCTAAAGTTTCTCATGTGGTAAAAACTAGGAGCGGGACTTGGATGTCTTATAATGTGTAATTTTAGTTTTAATTGGTTTTGTGAGTTGATTAATATCAAGTTTCTTAATTGATTGTGTATTCTGAGTTTAAAGTCATTAGTTTCATCATGTATAAGTTTGGTTCTTTCTTTTCAGTCGAGTTTTCTGTTTTTCCGATGAAATTTTATGGGTTTATTTTTCCGACAAAATATGTGTGGTCATGGTGGTGATTGTTGGCATGGTGATTGTCGAATGTTTAGTTTTATAGGTTTATTTTTCCGGCAACAGTTGGATAGTGGCGATGGTGGGGTGATGTATTGACGTTGGTATTAATGATGGTGGTGGTGGTGATTGGTGGTGGGGTGATGTGTTGATGTTGGTATTAGTGACGGTGGTGATGATCGATGGTGTGGTGGTTCTTTTATTTGAAACTTAAAAGAAAAAAAATACAAGGCCATTTTCATAATTTCACATGTACCAAACAAAGCATTTTAGACCGTGACAATCTCAGGGCTACATGTGTAATTTTTGGAAACCATAAGAACGAGTCATTTCAAAAATACAAAAGTTATACTAAAAATGCAAATAAGTGTAAACCGCAATAACCAAATATGTATTTTAGTAGTTTTTGTTATAAATGGTCCATATTGAATATATATAT